TTGGGGTCAATTTGCTCCCAAATGAGTGTCAAAAGTACACCGCGTTTTCAGAAAAATCGTATTTGATACTAAATAGTGTCATTTTGATAAAACTAGGTTCACATCGATCCCAATAATTATCATTTTTGATTTTCGAAGTTCGAAGTTCGGCGATGTTTTACTCTAGTATCGATTTCGTTTATACTTGTCAAGAGTTCGCTCGCGCGCAAAATGGTTCGATGGCCCAGTTGGTAAGGCGTCTGCTTCTGATGCGAGAGGTCCCCGGTTCGAAACCCAGATAAATCAGAGTAGGTAAAAAGTTTTTAAAATGCAAATATATAATTTTAAGAACAAAAATGTTAAGTTGTGTTAGATTACTGATAAAAAAAAAAAATAAATAATGGTGTTGCGAGCGGGATTCGAACCTCGTTCCCCCGAGCACAAAATAATATCAGAACCTAGCGCCTTGGCCCCTGAGCCATGCCCATATTAATTTTTGCCATGGCAGAATGGTTACAGGAGCTTTCAAGCAAATGTCAAATTTTATTTAATACTAAGAAAATGACACCGGCTAGTGGCTCTTTGACACCAAAAAGGGTCAAATTAATATTTTCGAAAGTATTAAAGTGACACCAGAATAGGGTCAATTTAATGACGTTCGGATCAAAGATTTTTTCCACTCAATAGTGTCACATTGACACCTAAATAGGGGCATATTGATGACTACTTTTTTTTGGGTGCATTAAAAAAATTTAAAGTACTCAATTAAAAATGAAACAAGGTTTTTTTAAAGAAAAGTACAACACAACATTTTTTTATTTATTATTAAAAATAAGTTTTGTAATATTAAAGTGATTGAATGGATTTTGCTGGTCATGCATCTGTCTTTTTGAAGGTAGCCAAAAATATGACGTTTATTTTAATATTCACTGATTTTTAAGTGGTGTTAAGTTGCTCTGGGGATTTATGACCGTGTACTTTTTTAGTTTTTTTACTGCCCGAGCGTGTGTTGTGCCAAGTTTATTCTTGGCATCATTAAGCGCCGACAACACTTAACACATATTGTTGCCATCCACTGGCCGTGCTCCTCCTTGACACCGTCTGCTCGACCTCTTCCTTTTCCCGCTGCCACTCCGCACAATTGAGGATAAGTAGTGCCAAATGCCGGGGAAGCCATTAAAATGCAAATTTCTAGTGGTCACGTGATGATGCTGCAGTTCAACTTGGCCCACATAAACACACGGCGAAAACAAACAGGCCGCGAACAGGCGAGAACAACCGACTGACACTAACTCAACAGCAGCCACTGCATCATCGGCGACTTTCGCTTTTATAAAAAAAGAAGGAAAATCGTTGCCCCCGCTTTGTTTTGGCCTTTTCTCTTTCGCCGTTTTCCATTAGGCCATCTGACATTTTGGGTCAGTTGTCGCATTTGTTTTCCGCCCGCTGTTTTACTTTTTTTTATTCCCCTCTGCTTTTCGGCCAACTTTCAACTTTAAAATGTGTGATTTATTGCCGAGATGCAGCAGCGAAGTTTTTTGCGGTGCGTTAAACATGGCGTATGATTAACGTCAACGCGGCGTATGCGTAACGCGCAATTCTGGGGGAAATGGCAGCAGCACTTAGCGACAGCTCAAAGCTGCGGAAAAAACGAAACGAAACGAAAAGTTCTTGGCCAAAGCGATTCTGAACTGCAGTTGGAAATTAGTTTCGAGTGACAGGCGCATAATTCGTACACAAGTTAATTAAATAAGTTTGCAAACGCAAAGCGAACGAAGGTGGAAAACGATTTTAAAATTAATCCCAAGGACAAAATGAAATGATAAGTTTATAAAGGCGATCTCTTGGAATAATTGATGGTATTTGCGGATTTTAATTTATTAATTCCAAAGTTAGTTTGAAGTTACGAATATGAAATCTTAAAGCAAAGGTCCTACATCATAAATCTAATTCTTTTTTCCTCTTGAATTATTTTCTAAAGCTGCATTATTTGTACTAACCCATTGAAACGGAAATTAGTGAGTCATTCAAAGCTGAATGGGATTACCTCAATAAAAAAAGGACCCCTTTTAAGCACTTTTGTCAATCATCGGCCTTTTCCTTCCTTCTCCCAGGTGATTGCTAAACAATTTGATTTTGTTCGCTTGGCACGATGATTGGACAGAAGAACTGTTCTCGTAAATGTTCAATTGATTGCCAGCTGCCATCGACATAATGCCATTCGAGCCCCAGAAATTGTCTAATGACTGCAATTCGAGGCGCTTATCAAAGATTCATGTGCGCATTTGCCAATCACCTGCAGAGTGGATCGCATTTCCCCCGGCCACTCTTCCCATTTCCTTTGCCATTTTCCTGTTTTCTGTGGCGATTGCACTTAACTGACAGTAAGTAACTAGTTGAACTCAAACAAAATGCTTAGCGCACAATCTGAGAACAAAACAGCACTCGAGGAGGCTTCAGATACTCGAGTACTTTGGGGTTTTTCGGTTAGAGGCAGGGCAATGTGGAGTGTTTTAAAATTAAATTTCTTGCTTAGCCAGACTGACACTGTAAAGAAAACTGGGGATTTTATATATTTAAAGTATTTAATAAGGATAAATAAATAGTAAAACTAATATATTTAGCACTTACGTGTGGTTTAATATTAAAAGTTTTGACTATGGATTAAGAATTTTAATTTTTGATCACTAAAACCATTTTAATAAAATTAATCATTTATGTAAAAAACAGTTGGCATTGTAACAAGAAATCGATTCCTGAAATTTATGGTCACAATAAAGTAAATATAAAATTTGTTGTGAAAAATGTACTTAACCTATTTTGGACTAAGTTTTGAAAATTATTCGTTGGGAGATTTCTAAGTTGACTGGATTATTTTTAAATATAATATTTAGATCTTAATGTATTTCTTATTTTTTGTATTTATTTTTTTTGAGTACCATTTCACAGTGTTTTTTTGTGATTGCAGGACGCACGAGTTTTTTGCTGTACCAATTAGCCTTGGCCATAAATTCAGCCGCCGGCCTGGAATCGCCGACGCTGCAGGAAGTGGAGGTGGTCGATGTGGTGGAGAACCAGGAGCAGTTCCTGCTGGCGAACCCGGATCCCAACTGGCTGGCCGCCATGGCCAATGAGTTTCAGGTGAGCAGGCTCTTAGCCTTGGTCCCGAAATCGGTAAGCCAGATAACTCCTGCCAACATAAATCACGCTGTTGTTGCTGCTTAACTTTTTGGATGGTGTTTTTTTTTTTAACGTGGCTCCGGATATCTGTCAGAGCCTGTCTGCATTTTGGTGGAGCGGGAGGAGTTGTGTAGAATTTTGGAGGAGCATCTCCAGGCACGTGACCGCATGGTGGTCACGCTCCAGTGCCGCCGGATTTCATTTACAGCCAGCAGGCACGCCACGTCGCTTTCCTGGATTGAAAACAATCAGGCGGCAGCTAAAGATTTATCAGTGCCTTTAACTGCCATCGAACCGAAGGGCAATAACCGATTAAGCCCCGAACCAAGTTTATCATTTGGGATCCCGTTTGGGATTGCACCCACTCCAAGTAATTGCTCAAGATTATACATCTTGACGGGCAGTGAAAATTCAATTTGTAAATGATTTGTATGGCTACTAATGGCTTTTGGTTTTTAAAACGTCAAGATAAGGTGATTGATCAGGGCTGTGGGATATTTTGCAAAAACTTAATAATTTTTTAATCTACTAGTATTTATTTGATAAATCTTAGATGATTTAAATTTCCTAAAAAATAAATAAATTGTAATATTCTCAAACTAGGAGAACAATAATTATTTTAACAGGGTTATACCCAAACAAGGACTACACTCATAGAAATTTTCCGGTAAAATCGCCCTAAAAACAAGGAAAATCGCCCTAAAACGGGGGTCAATGGCGACTAGGCAACAAAATTAGGGCAAATTGCCCTAAAAATACGGGTGAATTTGTCATACATTTAGGGCGATTTTTCGTAGATCTAGGGCGATTTTTCTATTTTCACAGGTAATTGCCATAAAAATAAGAAATGAGACCCTTAAACTAAAGGCAGTTTCCTTTAAATCCAGGGCGATTTTTCTGGACTTATAGGCGAATTGCCCTGGAAATCGGAAAAAATACCTTTAAACTAAAGGCAGTTTTTTATAAATCTAGGGTGCTTTTCTGGATTTTAGGGCGAATTGTCCTAGAAATAAGGAAAAATATCCTAAAACTAAAGGCAGATTTTCATAAATCTAGGGCGTTTTCTCTGGATTTATAGGCGAATTGCCCTAAAACATGCAAAATGCTCCCCAAAATTTCACGGCCATTTTTCATAAATAAAAATACGATTTCATTATATTTTTTTTGTTTTTTTTTTATATTTTTGTTTGTTGTTATTTACACAATTTCTAATTATATACATTTACATACTTTTCTACTTATTCTTATTGCTAAAAGAATTACATCGATCTTAAAAATAATGTTTTGGCTTAATGTATTTTTTGGTCTTTAGGTTTTTTTAAGGTTTATTACAATAAGTACTAATTATCAAATTTTACTTCTAATTGAATGCATAGAAATAATATTTTTTTTTGGAATGAACAGATTGTTTCTTTAAAATAGTTACAGTTTTAAGGTTTTATAATCCTTCAAGAGTTCGGATAAAGCTTTACCTTTCTTATCAGACTCTAAATGAATTTCATAAAACATTTTTTGGATAAATGTCGTGGTTTAAAACAAAAAATATTTTGAAGCACACATCAATACTTTTGAATTAGGTTCGCATTCTATAAAAAAACCTCTGATAGTTAAACTGGAAATTCACCAAGGTCAAAAAGGGCTTGTTCCCACGTTGCTGAATGGTTGCAGTTTCGGCTTTCCGGATTAGCAATTTTCCGTCAATGCCTTTAGATGTGTTTGCAGTTCCCCAACAGTAGCCTTCCAAACCAAGAAACGGCTTCGCGGGTCCGCAATGGTGTGCTTCGCGTTCTTGCTCCCGCCGTCCTTTTTTGTCAGTGCTGTCGCACCAACACTGAATGGATCGCAAGCCAAATTAAAGTTGATTGTATCTCTATTAAATAAAAACAGTCTATTTATTGAATGAGAAAAGAAAAAGAGAAAAAGCACATACCTTCAGCGTGGCTTTCCAAAGATTTGAGCAGTTTTATTCCCTTACTTTCGCTTTTAAAAAGTGCGAAAAGTGGTTTGCGGAAGCTGGATCTCAAAGACGTTCTCAATCTAAAACAAGAAAAAAAATTGTTAGAAATTAATATAAAAATGCACTACTAACAGTCAGAATTTTCAGAATTTTAGCCTGCGATTGCGTTTGCTGCTACTTCTGGAAAAAAAGAAGCAACAAAAGCAAATTTAAGTTACTGACGAAATGACGCAATAGAAATTTGGGGTTATGCATCATCTTTTTACCTCAAGCATTATTTACATATACACATACATATATGTATACTCCCTTCAGTTCTGGCGTCCCATGCACTATGGGGCATTTGACCACTTTGGTTGGCCAAAATCCATTTTTTAAAAGTCGTTAAAACAAAAAATGTTGTTTGAGGATGTGTTAACAAAAGACCATTTAACAATGTTACGTTTACAGAAATCCGATAGAGGTCGCCTCTGTTAAGGTAGGCGCTGTTAAATCAGCTGTTCGATATGCAATTATCGAGCTGTTGAATTTCGACTTTTTGCTTGCAGTTTTAAAGTGCTTTAAATTTGAGTTTTTAAGCAATCTAAGTAAACTTTTTGGATTGGATTTAAAGGATTATGCTATTTACTAAGGATTTGTGTGGTTCGACGACAAAAATGAGACGGTTTTTTCTTACAAATGAGTGTTAAAGGGAGTGGTCTAACAAGTACATTTTTGTAAGAAAACTAATTTTCAAATGGAGCAACAAAGTGAGTCCAGCGGAGTCCACTTCTGGAACCTATTGGGATTTGTAGATTATTTAATTGTTGTTAAAATGTATATGGTCAGAATCGCCACTTATTGCCACTTTTTCTGTAATTTAATTTTTTAGACCATAACCTCAAATTTCACAAACTCCTATCGTTTGCACTGGTGGCAAAGGAAGAAAGGACTTTCGTGACTTTAAATTATTATCAAAATATAGTAGAAATACTTAGCTTTGTAATTGACTAACTTAAGTGGACTTTAGCGGCTTTAAAACGAAAGTTCCGCTACAACTTGAACAAAAAGTCGTACAAATGTTAAGTAAATTCTTTCCTTTGCCCCTTTTTTTTGAGAACTTTAGGATATAGTCGTCCGATTTGTACAAAACTGTTAATATTGTTTTAAAAACTTACATAATTGCTATTTCTAAAGTTATGTGCATTTATCTCCAAAAACAGCAAAGTTAATTTGTTCGTTTCTATGGCAGCTATATGATATAGTTTTCCGATCCGGATGATTATCATATATAATATGCGGGGGGATAAGAAATGGCGACTGGTAAAGTTTCAAGTCAATATCTTTTGAAATGACCGAGTTATTAATTTCGGCCAACAAAAGTGGTCAAATGCCCCATAGTGCCATGTCGGGGACAATTCCTTAGGCCAAACGCTCGGCCGCTGTCGACGTCAGCAGAGCAGTCGGCGCAGCGTGTACCTGAAAGAAAGAGAGGCTGATATTTATATATTGCGCTCTCTTTCCTTGTCTTATAATTTGCCTGCACTCGACGCTAGCAGTGACAAATTTCGGCCGGTCCGTCATTCTCTTTTTCGCCTTACAGTTATGTTCAGTTAGCAACCAAAATTTGGCCGGTAAAATTTGTGTGACGCAGCGAAATGTGTATGCCATTTCATTTTTCAATTGGTCCATAATATTTTTTAAATAATAAAATATTAAAAGTTGTATCTCCACAAAAATTATTTGTGCTTTTACTCAATAGAAAGGGTATACATAGAAGCATTGGCACGCGGCAAAAGCGATGATGAATCAAAAGAAAACGGGAAAGCAAAATCATGACTGGCTGTATTTTTTGACTGTCAATCGAAGAGAACAACGTGCTTAAATTTGTGCGTAGACAATTTGTAATTGGCGATTTAAAAAATTGTACAAGTGTTTACCAATTGTATTAAAAGTTAGGTAAGTGGCATTTTAATTCATTTACATATATGCAGTTGATATTAATTAAAATAACCGGTAGGTTTATGTCCGGTTTGCTATTGTTTCTGGGTAGAAAAATTCTTGCAATATGTACATTAGGGTGGACTTAAAATAAAAAAAACTATTTTTTTTTACTTTTTCTTTCTTTTATGGATTAAGGATACAAAAAAGTCATATATGAAGGGGTGAGAGCATGGCTTTAGAAATTTCATACAAAATAAGTCCACCCTAATGTACATACATACACACATTTCCCGTGGCCAGCGCTAAAAATGCTTAGGATCTCGCTGCGGTCTCTACTTGATTTAAAAAGGTAAATATAAAAATATACAAGTAAAACATATTTTTAAAACATATGTCTGTCTTTAATTTTTTCAGGATCCTTCGTCAAATATTCTCGCGGACAAATTCATGAGGACGGCAATCTTACATAAAAATCAAAAACAAAAAAAAACAAGGGGTATTATTTATAATTAATTGTACGAAAATGTAAGTAAAACAATTGAACACAAAATACAATTTATAAAATGAAAGAGCCAATAAAAATTACAAATAAATTTGTATGTTTCTTATTTTATTTAATGCAAGGAAAGAATTTTTTTGTACATGAAATTGCTGATGACATTTTTAAAAAGTCATCCATGAAATCACCTATGACACAAGGTGACACGATGATGGATTTTCCTAAGTGACAACCCATTGGACAAATTCTGAATGTCCCTCGTGAAATCCTAAGGGACATGTCACCGGTTGGTGACATCTCAAACGACAATTTCGTATAAGGCCCTTGGTAAATCCCCGGGGACTTCGAAAAAATTTCATTTGAATTGTACTGAAGGAAAAAGCGGAACTCCCATACAATTTTCTCTATGTGGCGTCCTCGGTTCGTCCTCGAGTACAGACGACCTGTCCTCGGGTTTTCCTTTGGTGATTACTGAGGGAAAAGTGACATCTGGTACTGAAGGGCTCTTATTAATGTTCTTACTTTGTTCTGCCACACTTCCAAAACTCTACATCTGGACCGCTGCTTCCAGTCAAATCTTTTTAAGTTTCAGCTGCATTTTCCTCTGTTACAGATATGTAAATTCAATTAGTTGTTAATATCCAAATTGCACAATTATATATGTATGTAAACTGAGAAAGAATCGCCTCCCAAGTCCTTTAATAGCGTTTACATTTTTCACTTTTTCACAAACAAAAGGTTTCATACAAACACGTCTTTTACTGCCAAGCGCCCGAAAAATTATGACAAAGTCTAGACAACGCAACTCTTTCTACCCCCCTTGCCACTGCAACGGACGAAAAGTAGCGAAGAAGAAGAAAAAGGGTGGACTTTTCTAAAGTCAAATGCGCTCAGCATCAAAATTCATAGAAAAAGGTCCGCCCTAATATACACACACATTCACTTGTTTTGACCTGCCAACCACACACACATACACACATATTACATGTGTATCCATTAATTGCGTCTTAGAATTTCGTTTGACTCTTCCTTGTTTTTAGGGCAATTTCAGAACATATTTTTGGCTATTTTGTTCTGCGTTTTAGGGCGATTTCGCCCTAAAAAGAAGGAATTACTTTTGGAGTCGACTCATAAAAATTCGCCCTAAAAAACAGGGCAAATTTGGCGTTTTGGAAAAACTAACCCTAAAAAATATTTTCCATGGCGATTTTTCGTATATTTAGGGCTAGCCACCCGTATAATAAGAAAATTTTTCGTAGTTTTAGGGCGACCTTGGTTTTAGGGCGACTTTTCTAGTATTTAGGTAAAAATTTCTATGAGTGTACGTTTAAAAACGTTTTATTTTGAAATAAAAATGGTTGCCAATATTAGTTTTTAATAGGCAAATGCAAAAAGATAACTGATAATTTTAAAATAAATAATCTTTTGTGAATAATAAAGCGAAAACGACTTGTTGCCGTTCTAGATTTTAGTATATAACATTCGCTTTTCAATTGGTTACTTTGTAATAACGCATTGAAATAGCTTTCAAAGCTGTGAAACCCGTTTTTAATTTAGAACGTCCAGAATTAAAATCCTTGTTGATTTTCCGGAAAACCTTCCATGGCTAGAACGATATTTCGTTGGACCTCTATTGCAGCAGTTTGATTGAAAATTCACATTTTCCCGTAATAATCACATCATCAACTTGTCTGAAATTGCCTCAAAGCAAAACCAATTTCAGTGGCCGAGATTGCAGCTAAGGCCGAAAAAAGCCAGGATTAAGGCATGCATCGAAAGTTTCTCATTAGCACTTGCATAAAGAGATGGTATCTCTTGGAAAGGATGGCCACAATATCTATGTACTGGCTAGCAACGGTCTATTCTCGTCCCCAGCATAGTTTTCGAGGGTTTTTGGTCAAAAATTTAAATATCTGCTTTTCCGCCCCCAGGGAACTTGGTGTTGGGCGTTGTCGATTTTTGTTACCCCATCTCCAAATTTTTCAGTATTGCATTTTGCAATGTTGCTACTGGTGTGGCTTCTGTTCTGGCTGGTTGGCTCGCTTTGAGACATCTGCTTTCAATTTCGCAGATTGTCTCGCACAAATAAATGCAAATTTTATGCAAAACAAACGACACTGATAGTGGAAGATATATGGTGGGAAGCTGCAGAGCAGGGGAGTTTGTTTAGGTTTTATTTAGTTGTACTGATAAGCGTCTTGCTCGGTTGCTTGGTATTTAAATATTATGAAATTGGTAAGAAAACAACCACATGATTAAAGATTTTGAAACTGAATCGTCAACTTTACTAAGAGAGCTATTTCATTTTTCATCGCATTTAAAAATTGTGTAGCTTACGTTCTTATTTATTTTCGATTTGTTAAAAAATATTGAGTTTTGAGATTCAACTCTTTAGTAGTATTCTAGACCCTGCTAATATTATTTAATATTTTTAACTGATCACAATAAAAGTGTGTCCTTTAAATGTTATCCTAAACCTTATAGGAAACTCTTTTGTATTCTCCATTCTATTCATACATCTAACACCGAAAGCTTTAGGTTCAATGAATTTACGAAACCGAAAGAGACTTCATTATTTTTGGCCAAGCCAGGATTCACTTGGATACTTTTTGTGGAGCCAAAACCGCTGTTCATTAGGCTGTTGGAAGCCCACCATCCAATCTGAGTGCAACCATCGCCCTCCGTTAGCTTCGAAGACAAGAAAAAAACACAAGGAAAATGTCCACTGGGGATTACTTTGCTTAATTCAACTGCAAATGAAAATTGTTTGTTCTGTAAATTCAATCTCTTGGTGTCTTGTTGACGTTGTCATTACGCCGATGTCTGGCTCAGCTGTTTGTCGGAGGCCCTGGGCCTTCACTTGGCACCTTCCTCCCTCCGAGTCCCCTGCCAGCTCTCCAGCCACCTATCCTTACCATTTCCAGTGAGTTTATCAAAGCGTAATCTGCACAAAATGGCGTCACTTCCTTAGTCGAGGTTCTCTTAGGAAAAAAACAACGAGCAAATGGCCGGGAACTTTAAGGCTAACTATGCGGGGGACTCTCTAAGCATCCGAAGAACCCCCAAAGTCCCCCTCCCTGCTCACCTAATGGAGTCATAATTCTTCAGCTCGTTAGCAATACATGCAACGTAAATATGCTTGCGCCGAAAAGTATGCCAGGCATTTCTTTTCGTCCTTTCCACGTTTTTAAGGACCATACCCTGCAGGCATCCTGATCGGTTCTGCTAGGGTTGGGGACTGGTTTCGTAACAGCCAGCGGGCCTCCATATCGGAGATTAATTGATTTTTAAGGGGTGTTAAGGATTGAGTTTCGGTGGCCGATAGAAATTCAAATAGAAATAGAAATGATGGATGTGTAAAGAGGTAAAAAGGTGATTTTTAAGTGAGTAATTTCGCATTATATTTAGAATATTCAATGTACATAAATTGGTTATAAATGTTTAACTGTTGTCATTAACACGTATAGAATAAAATTATTATTCATTAAAAGTTAGGACTACAAATAAAAATACGAAGATAAAAAGTAACTTATTTGGACGAATAAATAAATAATTTTATTAAAATCTCGTTTTTTTTACGAGTAAAAGAGTAGAGAAAAAGATCAATTTCTTTATTTTATGTATCTTTTTTAGAAATTTACAGCATAGCAAATTGACTATATATTGGACTTATTACTTGAACATATTTATTTGTTATGTATTTTAAATATTAAGCTGATTTGGACGTTACTTGTCAATCTTCTGTTTTTCCTAGCTTTTGTATATTTTTACCCTAAAGGGTATCCTTAGGCTTTAAATTCTCGGAAGTTACCTCCATCAATTTGTTTTCCATATTCCTTTAGGCGACTTCCCTTGCGCATCTGTGTCTGCAGGAGAGTGTATGTGTTTGTGTGTCCTCCTTGGTGGGTGTGTGTATGTTTTTGTCGGTGTTAAACCTTTTCGCCTTTTGGGAAGCCGTGGGCGGTGGGCGTGAGCCAACAGAGCAGCCGCCTTGGCAGTGGCCTCCGGTCTGACAAGTTGCTTAATTGAAAAGTGTTTTGTTTGGTATGCCTAAAGGCAAGGCCATATACTTGGGCACTGAAAAAATCTTGTCTTAAAAAGATTTGTAGGTTTAAAGAATATTTGTTTCTATGTAGTTTTATATTTTGTCTTGGGCTTAGTATCTCAAACAAAATCATAATTAATGGGGATACGACATTATTAATATAAATAATTATTTTAGATACAATTTTTGAAATTTTAAGATTTTTTAGGATTAAAATCCGAACCAAAAACATTTTTTGTAACTTAAAGAGAAATATTCAAAACAATTTATTTTGGTTAAACTTTGCAAGCATTTTTTTTAAAGAATTTTCCAGTTATTTTATTTCTGTAAACTAAGGAAGTGTTGTTTTTCACAGTGCTTTCTAGCTTTTAGGACCTTTGCCCCAACTGCTGATTGGGCAACTTTTACGTTCAATAATTTGCTGCTTATTTATGCGCTTGCTTTAAACCCGGCCAAAAAAGCAACAAAAGACTTCCGCTTTTTTCTCCCCAAAAGATCCTTCAAGGATTCTGTGATTACGCATGGGGTGGAGAAAAACTGCCGCATATTTATCACTTTTCCTACATTTTATTGCTTCCTCTTTCGCATGTCGCCTCCTCCTTCGTCATAAATAATTATGTTATTTTAGATTCAGTTTTTTTTCATTTTTGGTCTCCTCGCGTTGAGTCGAGATAAATTGTGGCAATAATTATCTAGCATTTTTCACAGCGACATTTTTCAACGACTCTCAGCACGAATTCGGTGACAGTTTTCGTAATTAAGTCGACATGGTGACTTAATGACGCTGCCACGCCCCCTCGCATGCTGATAACTCGGCACTTATGTTTATGGGTTTTATGTGTTTTTAATTAACTTTGATGTTGATTCGGCAAATGCTTACTGGGCCTTGCAGCCAGTCAAATTAACTTAATCAAAAGCAACACTCAACTTTGTCTGGAGCTGCCCCAAGGACTCTCCGTTTTCAGTCTGTGTTTTTGGACCGGCTCGGTCTTTGGTGTCTCAAGTGTTTCTCTGTCTAATTGGTAAATTTAATTAGCCGGCCACTGGTCACCTGTTTGTATTTCGTTCGGTTCCTTCTTGCTGCAGTGTGAAATTCCATTTTCTGCTCGAAATTTAATAAGCACGCTCCCAGATTTCGGCTAGCTGGCTAGCATTTAATAGACTGCCGCTCCTGCGGCAACTCTGCCTTTCGTCCTGAGTTCGCAAACGGAACTTTAGTTTACCTTTCGCTTTAACTCTGACGTTAACGGAAATGCAACACTCTCGGCCGGTGAGCCACGCCCCGATTTTGCGCCACCAGCCCCCAGTCAACTGAGTCCATTCAAAGGGGTTCGTTACCAAAGTTTAAGGTGTAAAGGTTTTATTATAGGATTAAGAAAAGTTTTAAATTCTGAAAGCGGAACTTTTTAAATGAATTACTGTCAAATATATTTATTTTCTGTACACCAAAATAAAACTGGATATGAAACTGTGATCAATTTGATATTATGTGGTCAATTTTAACTTGATATGCGGCATCTCTCAATAGTCAGAGAGTCTCCGAAAGAGCAATATGATATTATTTATGCATGCGCATATCAAT